GTGGGGTCTGTTAACATTCGCTTGCACTTGCAAAACAAGTTGATGCTGCGTTGGGGATGGGGTGGGGATGGGGTGGGGTCTGTCCCCATTCGCTTGCACTTGCAAACCAAGTTGACGCTACGTTGGGAATGGGGTGGGGATGGGGTGGGGTCTATTAACATTCGCTTGCACTTGCAAACCAAGTTGATGCTACGTTTACGCGCAAAGCGCGTGGTCGGAAAACGCATGGCACCCAATGTATTGACCGCAAATGGTCATCCCTGAAGAAGTTTATCCCGAAAGAGTTGGCATCCAAACGGTCCAATGGCGGATTGAATGCACAGATCCAAGAATATATGTATAGCTTTGTGTGGCGCTGTAATACACCGTCTAAGCACCAACTGCAGAAGTTGGGTCAGATGGCACAGAAGGAGTGGACCGCGTGAAAAGGAGTGGCACGCCTCAGGGAGTGGATGCGTGTTAAGTTTTCATGAAAGCCAGAGAAACGATTAAAGATCCGGTTTTTTTAACTTCCGGGTCCCTGAACGCACTGTCATTTCAAAATGGAATTACGATTTGAAAGGCGTTTTGTGGTGTAAAAACACATTCGAAATGACATTGACCTAAAAAGGGCATCGCCATAAAGTGCCACAGGGGTTATGAAAGACGACCCGAAGATGCTTCTGAGAACGCGCAAATCGCGCGGGGCCGTTGCAGCGGGCGTGACCTTGTTTTCCTCAAACTATCAAGCTTGCAGTTGGATCCAGTGAAACTCACCAGCGGAATCCAGCGGATACCGGCGGATACCAGCCCTGTAGTTTTGTGGGCCTGCTGCACTTTGATGCTAAACTATGCTAAAGTCCAATCATATGCGCAGTTGCCGTTTCAGCATTTCGGCAAATGGCAGGGCAACACGTGATATGCAACCGAATAGAGGCAACATCTTAATTCGTGCAACACGCTGCAACAGGCTCCTTTTGTTTGGCTTCCTTCCATGTGATGTCTTGGTGGTCTTGGTCCCGTGCTCCACAATTGGGCTGAGCGATACGTCGCACAGGAGAGAGTTGCTTTGCGTGCGCATATCAAGCCGTGGAAGTATGAGGCCTGTGAGTCACCCCTGAGCGCACCTGGGTGCTGTTCGGCGTTTTGGTCACCTTGTCATGACAGGTTTTGTGAAGGTTTCATGCCACTTTTCTGGAATGCAGGCATTTTTGTGACTACAAGGAAAGCAGTGTCCGCCAATGACTACAGGATACTACAGGGGTTTCAAAACAGCAAGTTCGTTGCCGAAGGGCGAGGCAGGAACCTATCAGGGCCCTCAACAGTGGTATCACACGCCGTTTGTGATTCGGATTCGCCATGTGACGAATGATTTGAGAATTGCACGATAGGTCTTGCCAAGAACCGCACGACCCGGCTTGAAGATGGCGCTGCTCCTGGTCGGGTTGGACCCCTCTGAGCTTTTGGAACTAAACATGTGGGCCTACACAACTACAGGAGACCTCACTGACTTTAAGTTTTGGTTCAATCTATGCTGGCAGCATGCAACTCGTAATTTGTGTAAAGGGCACAACCAACGGAGTCTTTCAGCGAAACAGGAAGGAACGCCACGAATTGCCGTCACAAGGCCACGGGATGCCACAGGATGGCGTTCCTAGTACCTTCTTGTTCCTGGTAGAAATGCCCCTTTGTTACTAGTAGCGTCCCCTAGTAGTATGGCCAGGAGCTACTAGTAGCGAACATTGTTCCTAGTAGCGATGCCCTTGTTCCTTGTCGCGATGCCCTTGTTCCTCAATGAATCTCAGTGACCAGTTTCTGCTGTGCCAAGACCACCTACATGGAGAAGATGAAGGCTCGTGGCGCCATCGTCAGGTGCGAGCTTCGTCAGGGCTGTCGGAAGCCGATGTGGATGGGTCGTGTGGATCGATGGGACCGTGATCTTCGAACGGCACAGCTCGGAGCTGGGCGGACTCGGTCCGCTAGTAGACTAGAGGTGAGGTAGGTAGTTAGCTAGAGATATGTAGCTATAATGGTAGCAACAGGTAGCTAGTATATACCTACAAGTAAGCTACACATATGGACGCAGGATGACGCAGGATAGCTCACACTTCTTCAAGGAAGCTCCCCCGGCCGCCCTAAAGGCGGCGGGGGAGCTTCCTTGAAGAAGCGATCGCAGTATCCATTTGGTTCCTAGATTTTTAGGGAAACTTACTCAACTAATCTCAACTATATATATATATTATAGTAATAGTTCCTCAAGCAAATCTCTGGTGTGACTCTTTTTCGAAGGGACCTAACTCTGGAGAAGGTCAAGACTTTGCGGTAGGATCTTCGGAAGGGAATCAGATGAGAAGCCCTGAGGAAAACTGCAAGAACTGTTGGAAGACCAGATGGCTTCAAGATTCAACATGTTCTTTTTTATTCTTCTTCTCCTCCTTCTTCTTCTACCTGGCTTAAAGCCATCCAGCAGACAAATTTCCAGAAGCACCCTCCTGCACTCTCTCCCTCTCACTCCCCCTCTCTCTTCTATGCACTCTCCGTGCACAGGTACATCAAGCCGCTTTGGCTGATTGAAGAAGAAAAACGTCTTCAAACTCAACTGCGCGAGTTGAGGGGCGAGGACCCTCTGCACACACCCACCGCATCAAGTGTTGATCGTCGCCGCCAGTGTTGTTGTGGGGATGCGAGCAGTGTGGGTGTGAGTGTCATAGAGAGGTTGTTGCTGTTTCTGCTTTGCTATTCATTCCAACCCGCCCTGTGGGATTGAGCGACCCTTTCCTGACGTGAATGAAGTGACGAATCCGCTTGGAACGTGCAGGATGGAGCAGCAGTGGCCAGACGGTTGGTGGAATCCGGTGAGTCTGTGAAGAAGACCACGCTGGGATGACGGGAAAACATGCGTGACCGGCACTGCAATGGCTGTGGTGAAGTCACGCTAATACGACAGCCTTAGGGCCGTCGAGCATGTGATGGCATTTGTAGGTACTGTAGGTTCCATCTGTAGGTACTGCCGTGGTTTGTTTCACGAAACATGACTAAACATTGGGATGACTCAAAGAGATTCAATTGTGAACCACCGATTTCTTCAGGACCGCATCAGATCACTCGGTCCCAAGCTTTTGTTCTGAGCCCATGGGGCCGGTCCCCGGCTTTACAAGCTGGCTTGTTGGGGCGAAGCATATCAATTCGAAGAAGCCAAGGCTCAAAGTGAGAAGTTATGACGTTACACAGAGAATACGTCTTACGTGAGAATACCACGCCTTGTTTGGTGAAGTCTTGTCACATGTCACCATCTATTCCTGCCAGTTTGCATTGAGTGTTAAAGTCCTGAGCAGAAAGACAGCAGAATATATAGAAGAGACTGAACAACCACTTCCTGTAGCTCATACAAGATGGCGGTGCGTGAGGCTTGGTCTGTCAACTGCTGTTTCTTGCATCCACTTCACATCAGCAAGGAGCAAGCAAGGTAAGGGAGGAACTTCCTTTTGTGAGACTTAAAAAGGATTCTTGCCATCATTTGATCAGTCCTGGGATCTTGCAAAACCCTTTCGACGATCCGTCAGAGGTTTCCATCCATGACTCCTTCCGGCTCCTGAAGACTCAACTTCCGGAGCTGCTGGAGCAGATGGAGCTCTGGGTGCCTCAGACCTGGCCTTGGTCTCCGGAACTGCCATTGGACCCTGCCGTGGCGGCGGCGCCCTGCTCGGCGCCCGGGCGAAGAGAAGACGCAGAATGAGCCGGATGCAACAGACCGGTGGGTTGGGAAGATGGCTGCGATGTTTATGGGTTTTTGCAGTTTCCCTTTGTCATCCCAGGTTCTGTTTTGTCTAGTCACTGCTGTAATCGCTACAGGAGTGAACAGGGAGTGATCAACGAAACGACCTGAAAGCGTTCAACGCAGCTCCGGATCTATTAGAAACAAGTGCCACGCTACTAGTAACAGGTGCCTTACTAGTAGTAACAAGAAGCTATTAGTAACAAGTGCCTTACTACTAGGAACAAGAAGCTATTAGGAACAAGAATCTAGTTTCTCTATGTTTCTCTATCGAAGCCTGCGGGGACTAGGTCTCTGCACAGCTTTCCTCATGCAGAGAAATGACTCTTGCTGGCGTGGCTCAAACAGGCTTTCGTGTTGAAGTTTGCCAATCCAAAGCTTTCACCAGATGAAAGAACTAAGAACGCGACCCTGGACCCTACACATGGCGTGCGTAATTCACACATTCACACTTTTCCACTGCCAAGGTGATGCCTGATCACTTGCTGTCCACCGAAGCCCTTGCAGCAGCAGGGCTACTGGCACGAAATCTAGACAGAGGTCAGGTACAAGACTGGCTCAACAAGCATGCCAACAAGGAATGCATCATCGACAAAGCAACTTGGACATCCAACACCGAACTCAGCGGCTGTGGGCGCGAAGAACCTAGTGGTGAAAACACCTTTGGATGAACGTCGTAAGTCAATCCACCACTTTGGACATTGGGCCATAGTTTGGAGCAACGAGTTCAAAGCATTTCAATTCATCATAAGTTCAAAGCTCATGAGTTGCTGAAGAAAAATTGCTTTCAGCAAATTTCCATTGTTTTTCGGTTGCTTCACTGCTTCACAACACTTGACGATGCTTGCGGTTTTTGGTACACCAACACCCATCTTGTTTTTTGTTTCACAAATATGGAATACATATGAGAGCATAGATGAGCTGACAATAGGAGTTTTGCATATGTTTAGCTTTTCCAGCCTCACAGAGTTCCAAAGTGAAGCTCATGTCCTCACTACCTATGTCTAAAGCGATTTCCCTTTGCATTGAAAACATACCATGCCCATGCTCATTTCGAGGCCCCCAAGATGGCTCCGAAGGACTCTGATTCGGAGGGGTCGAAGGAAGATGGCGAGAGGAAGACACCTGATCGTGCCCCCGAGGTGACGGGCGTGCCCACGCACTTTGTGGTGATCCAGGATGGTTCCTGCCCGCTGCCTGTGGACACTGCTGATGTCCTGCAGATCTCCGCTGTCCGAGAGGGTGAAAAGGTGGGGCTGCAGGCTGCCAGCCTGGGATAAACTGGGCCAAGAGTTCATGGGCAATATATACAGTATAAAATTCTTTGCATCATTTTCAACTGAACCGATGAGCCTGCGCTTTGTGTGCAAGGTGACTTTCAAAGAAAAGTCGGTGGTGGTCCCCATTGAAACCGAGGATGTTGCAGGAGCCTTGGCAGTGAGAAGATGTGAAAAGGAGAGATGTTGGCAACACAGTTTGGTCTGAGCGAGCCCACAGCCTTTCTGAAGTCTCGCAGCAAGTTGCAGTCGACTTCAGAGACATGAAGTCGCAGATTTAACTTGTTGGGGATAGTTGCAGCCGTTTTTAACACTCAAATCCATTCAACACATTCAACACATGGAGGAAATGTGTGTGTGTGTGTGTCCACCCCTGGACAAAGGGTTTCCCACCGCC